AATCTAGAATGGCGAACTTCACTACAATAACAGGATTCATCCTTACAGGATTTTCAGACATTCAGGAGCTACAGACTTTATATGGAGTGTTCTTCCTGGTAATCTACCTAGCAATCCTCATGAGTAACTTCCTCATCATCACCCTCATCTCCCTGGATGTGAAGCTCCAAACACCTATGTACTTCTTCTTGAAGAATTTGTCCTTGTTTGATGTCTTGCTTGTGTCTGTCCCAATCCCAAATTTCTGTGTCAATAGTCTAACTCACAACAGTTACACCTCTGTTCTGGGTTGTGCCTTCCAGATACTTTTCATGACTTCTTTTTCAGCAGGCGAGATTCTTGTCCTGACTGCCATGTCCTATGACCGCTATGTGGCCATCTGTTGTCCCCTGCACTATGAGGTCATAATGAGCAGTGGAACCTGTCAATTGATGTTGGTTGTTTCTTGGATCACCGGGGTACTTTTTGGAACTGTATACACAGCAGGCACATTTTCCATGCATTTCTGTGGTTCCAAAGTGATCCCACAGTTTTTCTGTGATGTCCCCTCAATACTAAAGATTTCCTGCTCTGAAACACTTGGTATAATTTATACAAGTCTTGGAATTGGTATGTGTCTTTGCATGTCTTGTTTTATCAGTGTGGTCATTTCTTTCTTTTACATTTTCTCTACCGTATTGAAGATTCCTACCACAAAAGGTCAGTCCAAAGCATTTGCCACATGCATCCCCCACCTCACTGTTTTCACTGTTTTCATTGCTACTGCTTGCTTTGTCTATCTGAAGCCTCACTCAAATGTACCATCAATCTCAGACAGGCTTTTCTCTGTGCTCTACACTGTGTTACCTCCAGCACTTAATCCTGTGATCTATAGTCTAAGGAACAATGATGTCACGTGTGCTCTGAGGAGGTTACAGAAAAATCTCTGCCCAAGAGGTTCACATCATTTAACACTTCAAAGCATCTGTCGGTGATATAGTGCCTCACAACTTACAAGTGAGTTTTGTAGTTTCTGACATAGTAAAGAAAAATGTAGATAATCATTTTTACCCTAAGTATTCACTCAGTATAAGGATGACCTAAGACCAGAAAAATTAGATTATATGAGAATAACATATGAAATCGTTGTACCAGTTTCTTATTAGTTATGAAAAAGCTCTTCTTATCTGGGAATTATAACTATCCAATGGAATGGTAATTTTTTAAATGTAAGATTAAGTACTTTATCATTTGACAACTCCTTATATGACTCATTTACAAACAAAAATAACAACTACAATAACAGAGGAATGCAAAGATTGTAAGCATGTGAATAGTTGATGTAAATTCACCAAGTTCTGTCTACTCATATTTCTAATAATTAGAGAGAATTGACAAGAAGTCAATCCAGTAGGCCTAGTGCCTAGTACCCCCAGTCCTTAAAGAAGTGTTAAGTGCTTAAAGCAAACTCAAACCTGGAGGAAGGTCATGAGATACAAATTCTAAAAGAGAAGTAGTAGTAACTCAGGTTGAGTGTATTATTGGAGAGATACTTGGGAGTCTGAATTTTGTGTGGTTGTTTTTCTGTAGTTTCTCCTGAACAGAAACATTATAGGTGAGAGGAAGGAGGTTCCTGAGTCTACAGAGTGTGTCTAAATATTCTTATAATATTAAATTAGTGTTTAAAAAACACAAATAACTTTCCCATATTGTGGAAGTGTTAAACAACTGTTGAGGAGAGGAAATGCTCTGACTATCCAGGAGCCTGGAAGGGATTTTGTGATCTGTGAAGCTATTTGACGTCATATATCAAGCTGGCATGTAGCTACTGTAAGTTGTTACCAATAACAGGAATGGGAGATGTGGGTGCTGCAGCTGCCTTTGGGTCTTCCTTGCTTCTATACTACATAAGTAATACCAATAAACTCATTGGTTAACAAAGTTGAACTTTGGTGGAATTACTTATGTCTTTCTCTCTTTCTCTATCTGATGTGAGTAGGTGTTTCTTCACAAAAAAAGAGGTGACAGAAAAGTAATCCATGTATGTTTTTAGCCTGCCTGTAATGTAGGAAGGCATCACTTCTACCTACTTGAAGGTGAGTGCTATTATCAATGTCCAGAAGAAGTTATGGAACTTACTACAATTGCTAAAACAAGAATCATTTGTCCATGAAACATATCCCAGGTTCAATTTATCAGTGCATTCAAACACAAACTATTCCTTGCAATGTTTTAAATATCTCTGAATACTATATTTTATCAGAATAATTATCTGTCCTTTATATTTAATTATTTTTCATTACTTGAAAAATAAACATATTTTCATGAGGTAAAACCACTTTCATTTATATTTTTCATTATTTATAATCATTTTTACAAAGGTTACTAGAAGACAATTAAGAATGGAAGTAATGTTCACCTCCATATACCTACTCTATTAGATACACACACACACACACACACACACACACACACACACACACACACACACACTATTCTGGGTTACACTCTGTGATCTTTAAACTATTGCCAATAACAAATCTCTTGAGAAATGTCTAATTCTTTAAAAATTTCATCTGATGAGCAGTATATCAAGTTCCACTAGTAAAACTTGATAATAATAAGCACATTTTATAAGAAAGCGACCTACTATGTTTGACTCAAATAGCTGTATATGATTTCTCTTGATTACTTCTCAATGTAATTATGATAACTAAATTACAAGAAAAACACACAAATAAACCACATCAAAATAGAGTATCATTAGCATTAACTGATCTATAATTAAAACAATTTTCTCTGGCCTAACATGATCCATCCAAGCTCTCTCTCTCTCTCTCTCTCTCTCTCTCTGTGTGTGTGTGTGTGTGTGTGTGTGTGTGTGTGTGTGTGTGTTGTTTGATATTCAGATCTCAACTGTTTTCTCTTTGAAAATAAACTTTTGTTTACTGGAGTTTTGTGTCTGTTTACTGATAAGTTAATTGATGAGTCCGAAAACATAGCATGAATGTTGTCTATATTTACTTACCTCCTCCACTCTGTCTATTGTCTAGTCTATAACAGCCTTTTATTTATTACTGGGAATAACCTCCTGAACCCACAATAATCAATGTTTTAATCCTAAATCAAAGCCCTGGTAAGCCAATTTTATTTTTGACTTTTTGTTTTGAGTTGAATCTATCTTTGTGTGTTGTGATGTCTACCAATTCTTAACAAATGTTAAGGATTTTTCTCTGGGTTCCAATTCAATGATAATTTATTTTAAAGATAAGCCAAAGATACTAGAATCCATTTGCCTTAACCAGATCTTCCTGATGCAAGAGAATAGGATGGAGAACAGGTTCAACAGACCTTACAATAGGATGCAAAAAGAAAGTGGGTGACAGAGACAAAGGGCTGTAGTTCTTTTCTATTACAGGTGAAATACAACATAAGAGTATACTTGTAGAAATGTCCTCCTTGTGTCAACAACACAAAAAGAGGTATATGGAATGGGTTACCAAAACCATTCCCATGCTAGAGATAGGTACTTATCTACTAAAAGAAGTCCCATACATTTATGAGGTCTCAATCACTGACACCCACGTTCATGGGGAATGGATCAGTCCCATGCTGGTTTCCCAGCTATCAGTCTGGGGACCAAGAGCTCCACCTTGTTCAGGTCATCTGTTTCTGTGGGTTTCACCAGCCTGGTATTAACCCCTTTGCTCATCACTCCTCCTTCTCTGCGACTGGATCCAGTTCAGTTCGCATTTAGCGTGGGTGTCTGCTTCTACTTCTATCTGCTGTGGGGTGAAGGTTCTAGGATGGCATATAAGGTAGTCATCCATCTCATTATCAGGAAAGGACATTTAAATTACCATCTGCTATGTTTCTTACATTGTTAGTTGGTGTCATCCTTGTAAATTTCCAGACATTCCCTTAGTGCCTGATTTCTCTTCACACCTACAATGGCTCCTTCCATTACGGTATCTCTTATCTTGCTTTCCTCTATTCTTCCTCTGACTCGAGCTTCTGCTCCTGCAAGTTCTCCTCACCACTTCTCTTTCCCCTTCACATTCTCCTACATCCCTCATCTCTCCCCCCATGCTCCCAATTTGCTCAGGAGATCTTGTCCCTTTACTCTTCTCTGGGGGACCATGTATGTCTCTCTCTCTTAGTGTACTACTTGTTTCCTAGCTTCTCTAGCAATGTGGATTGTAGGCTGGTAATCCTTTGCTCTATGTCTAAAATCCATATATGATTGAGTATATAGCATGTTTGTCTTTTTGTGACTGGGTTAACTCACTCAGGATGGTTTCATCTAGTTCCATACATTTACCTGTGAATTTCAAGATTCCATTTTTTGTTTTGTTTTGTTTTGTTTTTCCCACGGAGTACTACCCCATTGTGTAAATGTACCACATTTTCTCTATCCATTCTTTAATTGAGGGGCATTTGGTTGCTTCCAGGTTATGGCTATTACAATTAATGTTGCTATGACCATTATTGAGAAGATTTCCTTGATACATGAATGTGCTTCTTTGGGTATATGCCTAAGAGTGGAATTGCTGGGTATTTTGATAGACTGATTCCATTTTCCTGAAGAACCACCATGCTGCTTTCCAAAATGGCTGTATGAGTTGGCACTTCCACCAGCAGTGGAGGAGTGATCCCCTTTCTCCACATCCTCTCCAGCATAAACTGTCATTGGTGTTTTTGATTTTAGCCATTCTGACAGGAGTATGATGTTACCTCAGAGCTGTTTTGAGTTGCATTTCCCTCAAGGCTAAGGATGTTGAGCACTTTCTTATGTGTCTTTCAGCCATTTTAGATTCCTCTATTGAGAATTGTCTATTTGGTTCTGTACCCCACTTTTTAATTGGGTTATTTGGTATTTTAGAATCTAGCTTCTTGATTTCCTCATAAATTTTGGAGATCAGCCCTATGCCAGATATGGGGTTGATGAAAATCTTTTCCCATTCTGTGGGCTGTCATTTTGTCTTGTTGACTGTGTCCTTTGCCTTACAGAAGCTTCTCAGTTTCAGTTTCAGGAAGTCCCATTTATTAATTGTCGATTTCAGTATCTGTGATACTGATATAATGTTCAGAAGGCAGCCCCCTGTACCAATTCTTTCAAAAGTACTTCCCAATTTTTCTTCTAATAAGTTCAGTGTGGCTGGATTTATGTTGAGGTATTTGATCCATTTTGACTTAAGTTTTGTGTATAGTTATAGACATGGATTTATCTACAATCTTTTATCTGCCAGCATTCAGTTATGCCAGCATCATTTGTTGTAGATGCATTCTTTATTCCATTGTATAACTTTCGCTTCTTTGTCAAAAATCATGTGTCTGGAGATGTGTGGGTCCATATCAGGGTTTTCAATTCAATTCCATTGGTCTACCTGTTTATTTTTGTGCCAATACCAAGCTGTTTTCAGGACTATAGCTCAGTAATAGAGCTTGATATCAGGGAAGGTGATGCCTCCGGAAGTTCTTTTATTATACAGTGTTGTTTTGGCTATGCTGGGTCTTTTGTTTCACCATATAATGTTGACAATTGTTCTTTCAAGGTCTGTGGAGAATTGTGTTGGGATTTTGATGGGGATTGCATTGAATTTGTAGATTGCTTTTGGCAAGATTGCCATTTTTACTATGTTGATCCTACCTATCCAAAACCATAAGAGATCTTTCCATTTTCTGGTATCTTCTTTAATTTATTTCTTTAAAGATTCAAAGTTCTTGCTATGTTCTTGCTAAGTTCTTACTCAAAGTAAAGTCTTTCACTTGTTTGGTTAGTGTCACCCATGATATTTAATGTTGTTTGTAGCTATTGTAAAGGGTGATGTTTCTCTGATTTCTTTCTCAGCACATTTATCATCCATATATTGTAGGGCTACTAATTTTTTTTTATTTAATCTTGTATCCTGCCACTTTGCTGAAGGTGTTTATCAGCTGTAGGAGCTCCCTGGTAGAGTTTTTTGTGTCACTTATGTAAACTATCATATCATCT